AATAATGTTAACTATAAAATTTATAGCTGAGTAGTTTTACAGTTTAAAATAGAATTCATAGCCAGCAATTTCATATTTTTTCATCAAATGAGCCTAATGTATTGAAATTTATTCAAAAATTGTAATACAAACTTACAGTCAAATTATTATCAGTTTGAAATTATTTTGATAATCAAATAAATGGTGAAATTAAGATGGGTAATTCGCAGTTTTAAAAACATTAAGAATAGTTAGTTTTTATTTTCATGAATATAGTCAGAAATTTGAAATCCAATTACGAACGCTTGCTTTGTTGAAAATTGTGCTTTTTTCAAAGGAGCATCTGAAAACTATCAGTCATTAAAATCGCTTTAAATTTAAATTCCAACTGTTGTAATTCATATTGAGCATTTTCAAATTGCAATACTTTAAATCTTAAATTGTAATTATTAAATTTTTTAACTTTGAAATAAACAAAAATTGTTAAGAAAAAGTGTAATGTAATTTTCTACTTGCAAGTTAGATAATAACTTTAATTGGAATTTGTTATGGAACAAAAAGAAATGAGCGTTCATACTTTCTATACGAATCTCATTTCATCCACCTGAAAACAAATATTTTACTTACGATTTAAAACTAAGTCTATCTGTGAAGTTCTAATCAACAATTTCATTTATAATTTAATAAAAAGTGATCAAAAATTACATACCCATATTTGAGCAATCAAAAATTATGATTACTGCATCATTACGTAATATTATTTAAGTTATTATTAAGGTTCAATTTATTTTAACTTTCGATGTTTATGGCAAAAAAACTGAATTTAGAATTTAAATTTTCGATCATAAAGTTTGGTTAATTTATCTAGATTGAAATTCGAAGATGCAAAACAATTTTTAGTATATATATATCAATGGTAGATTACATTTACATGAACTGAACAAGATAATGATAACAATTAACAATTAACAATTAACATTAGTTCATTACTTGCTTAGGTAACAAAACAGATGTGAAGAAATAACATGTAAGCAATTCAAATATAACTTGACACCTATGTTATTGTTAAAATGATTGTTTTACGAGCAATATTAAGCCAACAGCTGACTACCTGTAAGCATTAAGAGACCTATTTGACCTAATTAATTTTACTTCTCATAAAGCACACAATAAATTTTGAAAATACTAATGATAAAAGATTAATACAAAATAAAATAAATGATAATGAATAAAAATTATGATTTTGAATAAAGTTTTCGAGCGTTTTAATTATGCATTCAAAATGAGCAAATTTTCAAACAGATTTTGACTCATTTATTTACCCAAAAAAGTACATATATACTGAAGTTATAATGAGTTAAATGATAATGTTTTAACTTTATCAGAAACTACAAGTCAGACAAATTTTTATAACCGTAAAAAGCCATGATTGGTTTTCGCATTTTATTAATTTGACTGCAGTAAATTGAAATACAAATAAATGTATTATTTCCATAAGTTTGATTATGTAAAGAATGTAATAAAAGTTATCGCCTAATTGTGCAGATAGCATAAGAAAATGTTGTTATTGAACTGAAATAATTTAAAATATGAACGAGATGTCAAGATGTAGATAAAATGCAAAGTAATAGCCAATGAAGAATCGATTTTCTCGATGATCGGTGGTTATTGAGCCGATAATGAAGAACAACAAGCAACTGATTGTGTTAAAAATTTGAATTACCGCTTTTTAAAATAATATTGGAGTTTATGAAGTAAAAAATTTCTTGTGAGGTCATTAGAAATTAATCTTACTTATGATCCTCGATAGTTTCTAGCAATATAATATCAGTCTCAAATGTAATGCATATTATTAAAGTCAAGTGATAATTAAGAAAAAATGATAAAGAGTATAATTGAATTTAACAGAAAAAAAATTGAAAACTTTTCGAATTTGAAAATTTTTTAATTTTTTTATCTAAAATTTTTAGTATCTAAAATTCGGAATTGGTCTTTAAAAAATAAAAGAAAAGTTGATCAGTTTAATCATATTAGCTGGGAAGTCAATTGTATCTTTCAGATACTTTTTATGTTGAAATATAAGCAATGATTTTCCACTTTCTGTTGGCCTTATTTGTTCATGTTGAAGAAAAACTTTTCAAATAACTTGGTTGATTATGATAATGCAAAGAAAAAAGATTACACAAGTCTCATGGCAAAAAGTATGCTTTCAAACTATTAAATATTCAAATTTACTCTCATAATATATTAAATAAATTATATTATTCAAATTACTTCATTTTGAGAATTTCTAATTACAAATAACTTCAATTCATCAATTTTTATCATTTTATGGTACTTGTATTTTGAAAATATCAAACGTAATTATTTTTTTTAGTTCATCATATGAAAAAATAAGTGATAAAGAATTCCAAATGGATACGCTTAGTAATTTTACAACCCGTTAAAATAAAGCATGAAGTATAAAAGGTCATCAATATGTTAAAAAATATGAAACAGTAACGTTTATTTATGTTTAAACAAGAACATACTTTTCTACTGAGGTGAAATGTGATAGCTATTACATGTTATCCTAACTTATATCTTATGGCAATTGTTCAATCATAATGAAATAATAATTTTAAAATGTTTGCTTTAAAATAATAACTGCAAAGCTCATCAAAGGAAGTAAGTAAAGTAAGCATATTTATTGTTTAGATTATTGATATCTAACTTAATTATTAAATAAATATGAATTATTTGTATTTAAATATATTCATAAACTACAGTCAGACAAGCAAATCCAAAATAGACATAAACATTGCAAACATTCAAACTGCTAAATATTTAAACTTACTCATAATATATTAAAGAAATTATAGAAGTCAGTAATATATATTATCAAAGAACAAAATACATAAATACATAAATTAATTTAGGCTTTCATGCAATTAACAAAATTGTTTTCGATACCGTTCATCTTGGTTTACTTCTCTGACTACAATTTGTTGAAGTAAATTTGATAAAACTATCTATCTGTAAATGTTTATATTCATATCCCTGTATTCATGCGATGATTAATGATTATAGTGATGCAATTGTATCAATAAAAACTTTATGAATTACTTTGGTTAAAATAATGTTAATGTTCTGAGAAGATTTCTTGTATTGCTTCAATTTCACATGCAATCTCAGTTCAACAATCTAATCACACGGGAAAAAACTGCCTAAAAATGATAAAATAATGATTAGGAATTGTACATTATGGAGGCAGTAGAAAAAACGAAATAACTCCCACGTGTAAGCAACGATGTTTAAGCTTCGGGTATCGTACAAAAATGCAAATAGCGGTCTTAGCAAATATAAATTGGTAATATATACGTAAACATATGAATGTTTTGGGAAATCACGCATAAATTTATAATAGATAGATTGTTTCTGAGCTCTAAGAATGTTAATTTGAACGAGGAATAAATTAAATTACAATTTTAATTACTGTTTATCTAATTTATCTTTTCACTTGTATTTGTTTCCTGAACTGTTCATTTTTTAAATAAATATTCAGCAATTTCTGACTTTGTAAAATATGCTAAGGAAAGATTTTATTAACTACAAGCTATATAGTAATCTGATCGCAAATTTGCTACAGTCATTAATTCAGAGATTATTATTGTATAACTGATTAATTAATACGTCTACATTGTGTAACACGCTGCAAACATTACATTTACATATTAAATTTATTACTTATAATGCATAGCAATGCATACTTCAGCAATTATGTTCAAGTTGGCTTCACTATTATTTCAGACGTAAAACACTAACCACAGTTATTACTGTCGAAAAATTAACCTGTTAAGTTTTCATTTCTGAATTTATAAAAAGTATAAATTTTGAATATGAAGAAAAATTAGAAAAATATTTCTTACCCATTCATACCATACACTATTTCTGATTGCTGTAAAGCAGTATGTATGTGTAACGAATAATTTTCAAGTCTAATATTTTGTCTGATAAATTTTTTTTAGCGAAATTGCTAAATACAAAGCAGAGTGACTTTTAAATTTAAAAAAATCAAAATTTTATTTTTAATTTAACCAAAAAATTTCGTTATAATTTGAAGTAAATGTTATCATTTTATTCAAATAAAAGAATATAATAAATATAGCTAAATTACAATATTATTATACAAACAAAAGGCTAATTTTACGATTAGGTCCTTTAATTACTTAAATAACTACTATTAAAAATATAACTGAGTAATTAAGATTAACAAATTAAATTTATTGACCGACCGAATTGAATATAAGAAGTTTAAAAATGAAAATTGATCGCGATTGCTAGAATGTTACGAAATAAGTGCAAATGGAAATTGCTAGAATGTTATTGAATCTGTGAAATCTGTATAGTTCATTTCGACTTAATAAATTAAGCAGACTACAAAAATGTCTAATTCATTTCCAACTGGTCTTTAAATTTTATCATCGATTGATTTTTTATCTCTGCCTTTAAACGCTGCGCATGCACTCTATAATCCTAAGCTTTACGCATCTTACAGAATCTAACCTAATTTAGCACTTTGAGACATTTTACATTTTTCTTTCTACTACCAACGTAATTTGGCCCTTCATACTCGTAATGTGAACACGTTTACCACGTTATGCTAGTGAACGTAATCTTTTTTTATGAAAAATGTTTCATATTCAAAATATTCTTGCACAAAGATGTCAATTTTTTATATTTAATAATTATGCAGCGGATGGCTAGAAACAGATAACTAGCCATTTCGTCCAACTTGTTCAAAATATTTCCATCTTTCTGTATTTTTGATATATTTAAGCATCATTCCTTATCTAATTTTTCCTACGTAAAATATTTCTAAATTTGACGAAAGAGTTTAAATTTACGTATTACGTCTTGAAAGTTCATATCATGCTATGTTAGATTATTTAGAGACTTTTTACATGTGGAAACTATAATCTAAGCATTTTTAATTCGTTTTTTGCTTTATTTTCATAATCAAGAAGTCAACTTCAAAGAAAATGGAAACTGATTTCAATGAGAGTTTCCAAAATGAGCTGCAGAAGGAAATCGAAAAACGAAGGAATGGCATCAATAAACATTGGTAATTTGACTTATTTATCTAAAAATTAAACGTAGGCATTGTGATATTCATCCATATGTATCAGATTTTAGCAATCGTCTTGAAGCAAAAACATTTTGTAACTAGCAAATTTCTCATAAGATGTATTTTGACTGTTCTCAGTTTTACTCCATTAAATTAAGAGAAGTGAACTTTAGTAGAAATGACAGTAGCATGCCTGTATGTCTAATGACAGTTTAATCAATTATTACAAACTATTTGCATTTTACTGTTGTATTACTGTATTTGTCATCGAATGAATTATGATGAATTTTAAGTTTTAGAGTGTAAAAAAAAATCTCTGAAAATAGGGAGATGGAATTTTCGATTGCATGTATAACCATTTACAGGAAATTATCCTCATGTATCAGTTATGTCTATGAAAATAAGAAATGGTTTCATGCTAACCTTCTCAATTCAGATGTTACTTTGAAGTTACCAAATTCTATTTTCTTGCCACCATCACAGGTTTCCTTCATTTCTAAAAATAAACATGAAAATAGATAGGTATAAAAAAATATTTTCTTGCAACTTCATTTACAGTTTTGTTATGAATTTGACAAATACGTTTGTTAAACGCAAGTTCTGAATTTTGTTTTTTGAATGCAGAACTCAAAAATTTCCAAAAAATTGCTTTGAATTTTTTTGGTTTTACATATTATGTTAAACGAAATTGCTAAAATTATTGCACTAGTAATTTTATCCATTAAAGGTTGTCAAATTAATGGCTGAATATGATGCTGACATGACTACAGTTGAATTATTACGAAAATCGGGAAATTTTTCGGAATATGAAAAGTCAGAAGAGAGAAAACCCAAAAGTGATCAGCCGTCGACAAAAAGTAGCGATGAGAAGTGCGCTGTACACATGACAAAATTTTTGTCTGACCTTGGAAAAAACATTGTTATGAGCAGCTTAAACATTGTTGAAGAAAAAACTGATGAAACTTTGAATATTGAGAGTCTGTTGAGCGAAACTGCGGCAAGTTTATTTCTTTCTAAGCAGATGAAAGTAAATTAGTTTGATACTACAATATAAATATTGATGTATTTTCCATATAAGAAGAATGGGATTGAATCTTCGAGACCATCTTCTCTAGATTTTTCAAGTTTTCAGCCACGTTATAAGTGTCATTTATGTGACTACAAAACTCATTTACGGATCGATCTGGAAAAACACAAGCAAATACCGCACTTTATTCATGGGAGATATCGTTGCTCTTTCTGTGTGAAATTTTTTAAGAACATTCAAGAAATAAGCAATCATTTCATGTTCGTATTCCTATTTTACTTTTCGTAAAGCTAAACAGGAAACTATTGTGCCATTAGAAAACATCTTTGCCTGAGATGTTCTCTTTGGTTTATAATTTCAGTAATTGTAAGCGCTTGTTTTGAGCTTGATAAGTTTTACCACTGTAACCAGTTCAAAAAAACAAATTTTGAAAAGTTCTTCTTTGAACTTGTGGAGACTCAAGGCTGCTAAAAAATTTGCATTAATAAATTTATGCTGCTAGGACCCTTTTTTTTGAAACTATTTTATAATCTATTGAAGCAAGCAACACCAAGTAACTCCTCGTGAAGAATATTGGTGTGGAAATTTGGAATGCCCCTTTTGTGCTTCTGAATTCGACAACGAACATCGCCTTAAGCTACATCGCAGGCAATGCAATTTTGCAAAGACGGGGTGAATCTTTTTCGATGATTTTTTTCATGTGTACATAAAGTATCCAGCTTGATGCTACTTCAAGTAAAAAAATGTAAAAAGTTTAGGTAATTACAAGCAGCAATTAATTTTCTATACTTGAACTTTATATTTCATACCAGTAATAATATGCCTTATCAACACAGTACATTTAAATTAATTCGTAAAATTGATTTCAAACAAGTGTTAAAAAGAATAAATTGAAGGCACTCATAAAATACTCTGTATTGCATACCGATTATACTAGTAACTTAATAACTTAAGAATTTAGTTTCTTCACTTCTGTTTTGCTCGGTGCTTTTGCATATATGAACGAAAAAACATAGGTTTACGATGATGGCGACAAAGAAACAAGCTTTGTGTGCAATCAATGAATTTATGTGGGATCCAGAAATTACTGCTTTCGAATCAAAATGGAAAGATCGTTGCTTTATGTCATGGGTATTATTAGTTTGCTAGTATTAATTATCACTATTTTAAAATAACACAAAAAAAAAGCCGAACGTAAGGAAACTAAATAAAATGGAGTATTTAAGTAAAATTTCTAAATCAAGCTCAGCGAAAAATCAAACATTGTAAAAAATTATTGAGAAAAAACTAAATGGACGCTGAAGTGATAAATAAATATAGAGCTATTAATTAGTAATTGAAGATTGAATGTAATCTAGATTAATTAATGAAAAATGTTTCCTGTTTTATTTTATTCTGATTGTTCGCAAAAATAATATGATTCGGCATTTGCACTCAAGTCTCTCAAAATTGTAGAACTTTAAGAATAATAGATACATGCATCACGACAGCATGGCTTTGAAGATCACATGAGCATGAAATGTATTTTGGATTTCGAGGCGCAAAACGTTACTTTTTATTTCAGGAAATTTATTTCTCATGATTTTAGATTACTACAACCTCTTAAAAGTTTTTTGTGAAAAAGTAAGGTTCATGTTTGTAATTAAATGTTCTAGTGCATCTTGGATTTTGCAGTATCGTGCGAATCAAGCGGAATCATCCGGATCAAATCTAACGCGAAAAAGGAAATCAAAAAATTCATTTCAAAGCATTGCTCGCTTAATGAAAAGAAATAAGTTGTGATTTCAAATGGTTTTGTGGCATCTGCATACTTTGTTAAGTTGATCACTTATTGACATTTTCACTTTTATTTGTTTATTTCAATGTAGCATTTTGATGCATGGATATTGCTTTATCAGAATTTCGCATTTGGTAAAGTGGTGCTTATTTTAGTATATAATCAAATTGATATCGGTTTTTGAAGAATTATTGTTAAAGTTTGAATACTTCCTTTGCAGTTTTGATTTGAATTGTAATGTGAGGTAAAATAAATATTTGTTTTATTTACTTTATCTTACCTAATGGATATTTTTTCCAATATGTAAAATTCATTTCACTTGTATCACAAGAGTTAGTTTTTAAGTTATTAATTTAAAAGGCACGTGATTTACATATACGTTCACCAAAGCCTTGCATTAAAAAAGAGTTGCGTTGTGACTCGTTCGGTGCGTGATAACTATTAATTTCTGCCATATTTTGTCCGTTAAATTAATATTTAAGTTCTATTAAGTATTGCTGCGATATTTTCTTGGATATAGACCTCTCTATGAAATAGAATTTAAGTAATGAAGGAATTATTTATTTGTAAGTTATATCATTGTTTCATTTTGTGATCTGTGACTATGGTCTGTTTTCTCTTCACTATTCACTAAAAATGAGCAAATCATGCTTCGGGAAAAGTTAGTTACATTAATTTGAACGCGAATATGCTTATGCTTAGGACATCTCAGTGAATGGCATATGTGCAAAAAAGTTTTGTACAAGAAGTTTAAAATTAAAGTTGAAGAAAACTTAGCTTAAATTTATAGATTAGCTCAAGATTTTTGCCGCTTTTGCTGATTGGTATCTCCTTAATTTGTGATAATTCGGGGTAGGTTTTTAAAATCATAGTATTATAGTCTGGGAAGAAATGAGAGTACTTTTAAGTGTTACTTGTATAGTTTTGAGCAAATGAAAAAATCAGACACTAGTAGCATTATCGATTTCAAGCTACCCTGAGCAACGGTATTTTTTCTGTCATTCACTTGATTAGCAAGACAAGCACAATATTTGAGATTGATTAATGTGCTGCTTTGTACAGCTTTAGAAATACATAACTTCAGAGCTATTCCTCGTAAGTTAAATTACTTAACTATCCTAGATGCTTATAAAAGTACATACATCTCGTCTTATAGTGCATAATCTCAAAATAAATGGAAGCAACACAGGAAGATCAAAGTCGCAGTCTTGAAATTGACGTGGTGGAGCAAAATGAACCAGGATTTGACCAGATCGAAGGGAAGAAAAATTTCGACGATGATGATGGTTGTCAGAACCATAATCTTTGTAGTGATGATGTTTCTGTGGAGTCTTGTGATTCAGGACAGCTCGTATCTATCGAGGAATTTCAAGTTTCAGATTCTTTTTATTTTTTTCCTTAAGTCTCGTTTATCCTAAAAGAAATCAGCAATTCATTTAATCATCAGATTACAGGCACAAGAAGCTTTGATGTCATATCAGCTGAATATCGAAGTTTCCAATTCACAATTGTTACAAGTAGTAAATGATGTCAACACAGAAGTGACTTCAAGTGAAGGTTATTCTACTTTTTTATCGGGCAGTGTCTGAAAATTATAACTATATAGGTAAGTTGTGATGTCTTTTCAGGCAATAATTTGACTTCAGAAAGTGCTGCATCAGTTCAATGCATTTGTCACCGACCAATATCACTTATACAATGCCTAGCTTGTGGATCAACTTTTCGGGGTAATGTTGCGCTTTTATGCCAGGTCCATCCGAGAAGAATCAATTTGATGGACTTACGATTCTGTGCTAATGCATCATGTCGTAGTATTAATCTCGTTGAATATGATAATGATCCACTGTAAGTTGTTTAAATTATGAATCAGCTGCATATTTGCTAACTAAAATAAGCTAAAATTTTTATAGAGATTTTAAAATAAAAATAGTACACTTTTCTAGAAGGATAAGCATTTGATAATAACTTATCTTAAGCCTTTAATGAGTTGTACTACTCATCTTTACTTGTACTGGAAATGACTCTCAAATTTCCTCTCATCCATTTAGAACTACTTCATTCCGATGATTATTGTATTTAGGCTAAGTACAGATAAAGCGAGTTCAGACTGCTTAAATATTTTTTGTTCTTGCTTTCTTTGAATCAAAGAATTTCAAGACCTTAGAGCCGTCCCTCTTGAATCATGTAATAGGATGAGCAAGCTCTTAAGTTCGATCAAAAAGAAAACGTCAATATATTCCAGGTACGATCTGACGATTCAGACATGACCCCGGTGAGAAGTAACAAATTTCTGTGCCAACAAATTACGTATCTCATTTTAGTTTAGGATTTTGCTCTGAATATGAGATTCAATCATATAAAGCGGTTACACTATTTTGTTCTCGCATCATATCTCCATTCAACTAAAAACTGAATTGCTTTCGAACTTTTTCAAGTTACAGCAGATTGTTCCCTTCCCTATTTCTGAAAATTATGTTTTACTGAAACTTCATACACACTAAAAGTAATCAACAATCAATAAGCTGCAGTTTGATAATAATATTACAAGCAGCGTTGCACTTATGATGAAAATTGCAGTTATGATTTAGGTCCTCAAATATGATTATAATCATCTCCACTAAAATTTTTGCAATTTGAGTTGCACTAACTTGAGTAACTTGTTGTTCCAGATAATTTGCAGAGTCATTTATTTAATACTTTAGTGTATTTCTATATTTGGCATAGTTTGAAAATATCATTGAGTCCTGCAAGTTCTGACTTTCATAATGTGTGGCATATTATGAATATTAGTATTGTTGTATATAAAATCTAATGCTCCTTACTCTATTATACCACTTACGTTACTCACAATGTCTACTATAATTTGAAGTCCAATCATTCTCTCTACTGCTACTTTTAAAAATTGTCCAATTTTTGCAAGACCATAGTATGATAAAATTTGCATACTTTTTTCCTTTCTTCTTGTTAGAATTAGTGCTTTCACATTCTAATGCTTTATAAATCAATGCACTTGCAGAGGTAAAAAAATGTACTAGCAGTGACTTTTTGAAAACAATTTTAAGAAACAGTAAGGGCATAAAAATTGTGCAAAATAGATTCGTTCACTAGGGTAAGTGTAGTTGGATTTGTTTGCAATTATAAATACTTCTAATATATCCTTTTGTACACAATTATTTTTCCACAGGCGCTACGTTGTGATCAGTATATCTGTTCACGTCGAGGCATACATTCTCAAGAAGGTGCCCGAAAGCATTTCCTTCGATCTCGCTAGGAATTCTCAAGGACGAAGTGGAAAGATGAGGAAAACAAATTTGATACGGGACAAGTACAGCTAGTGTGCTGAAATACGACCCAGCGCCAAAATCAATAAGGCGAAAACGAAAACTAACCTATACATTTCTTTCTTTCTTTTGTATTTTCTAAATATCAAGTAATACAGTATTTACGTGTGCTCAAGAAAAAAGTACTTTATTATGCTTGGATTATTTTAGAAATATGAAACTTAGAAGTAGCATTTTTAGGTAGAAGACAGTTTCCTAGTCACTGGTCGATAGAGTTCAAACGATTTTTGGGATGGTTACATTCTATTCGATGAAAGTATTATCAAGCAGTGATGTAACTGTGTTCTGTACTAGTATTCACACATCCAGAACCGAGTAATCGATACCCATCAATACATGTAGTTAGCACAAAAGAGAACCCCTGATGTAGAAAAAGCTTCTAGATAGTTCTGGCACTTGCCAAGTCGCTTAGTATTTAAGGGCAGTATGTGCACTGCACTTCCACTCTCTGATCTCTTTCATTCTCAGTCCCGTGCCAGTCCTTTCTTTGTCTGCACTGCTCGTTTATCAAGTACATCTCTGCGTATACCATTCTCACTTTCTGTTCGAAGTAAGGGCTGGAACGTTCGCATTTCTCTGACATCCTCTGTTTTGAAATTTTTTCATTTATGCAAATTTCCTTCCATATTTTAAGTGTGTACTTTAACATATTTTGCTAGCAATATAATATTCTCTAACTGAATTTATTGAATTATTGAAGTTTTTAAACTTCTCTGTATTTGTAAACGCTGTACTTTGATGTTGGAAGGCAAGTTTCAACTGCTGCCGAAAGATCAATATTGATCACTTAACTGATGCCTTTTGGTGAATGGGGTCAGTCACTCGTTGTTACTTATTAACGTTCTATGTGTTCGTCATATGTACCTGTAAACATTCATAATTACGCGAGATAACATTAGTGATGTCATTATAACTTTGAAACTGATACGAAATTGGGCAATTATAATGATGTTATGTATAGTCGTATATCGAAGTTTGTTTATGACGAGTTCGCGTGAAACTGACTGTTAGGTTGTAATGTAAAGATGTGAAATGCAATAAGATTTGCGTTGCAGATGTCGAGTAAAGATGCAAAGAACTGTTTTGAAGTAAAGCTCGACGTATCACGCTATCATGCGGATGATTTGAAAGTAAATGTGCACAACCGGGAGCTGATAATTTCTGGTCAACACAGTGAACGTCATGAAAATGGCAGTACAGTTGAGCGTCATTTTATCCGGACTTTTATCTTACCCAAGAATGCTAGAGAAGAAGAACTGTCATCAGAATTGACCGCTGAAGGTATACTGAATGTTTCGGTGCCAATTGACGAGTTACCGGATTATCGAAAAATTCCAATCAAAGTGGATCCCAATTGGAAAATGCAGTCGAACCCATGTCAGGCACTGATCGTCCGTGAGCCAATACCTCTTTGGTGGTGGTGATTTGATTCCTGCTTCTTTTTGTCATGTATTTCGTTACATTTAGTCCAGATGACCTTGACAAAAACAAAATATGCATGCTCTTTTATCAATGTGTTTCTGCTCGTTTTAGAATGACTTCTGTCATTGTTTTCAGAAGCTATCGAAAAATGTTAAACCTGTGAAGATTTATTATTTCATTGATGTTGCTTATTACATCTTTCTGCACCATGTTGCCATCGTGAGTTTGCTTATATTTTCGATCCATAAATAGAGTTGTATTATTTTTCTTTCATCTGCTTTAAATAGAATAAAAGTTTCTAACTGAACTTTGTACTACCACATCTTTATTACGAACATTTAACCTTGGCAACAACAAAATATGATCATGCTGGCATTACTGTCATCTAAGATAATGTGAATAAACACAGTTGATGATGAATTCACCACGATAAGATGTAGAATGAAATGAGATTATATATTGTGAGATACAGAGGTTTAAACAGAAATGCAAAGAATAACTTTGAGTATGCGTAACGCTTGTAGAGAATTCGTAAGTATGCAACAAGAAACGAGTATGAAATCACATACAAAAGAAAAAGACATTGAGGGCATTTTACATAGATGTTCCGAAAATTGTAGAAGAAGTTAAATGGATTTGAATAACGTTAAGAAAAGTATGGTTTGTCACTAAGAGCTATTTTGACCTGCTCATTTATGGTTGGATGAGTAGGTAAAACTGATAAGATGTGCTCTGAATCAATGAATATTTCATTGTACTCCAAAATAGCTTGAACTGCATGAATTTCGTTCACGAACTGCACCATTGCTTTGTTAGCATTCTTCACGACTTTAACAATCCGATAATGTTTGAAGATATTTGCGATATCGAACTCATTGAAACATAATGGATAACCATAAACTTCAACAACTGATTTCACTGAAAGTATGTAAATATTTCAAGAATGAATTTTAGTTCTTTTAAATTTATTAGTAAAAGACTTTTAAAAAACTAAAACTGATTGATTTCGTAATTTTGTTCATAAATACTTCACACAATGCCAATTCATCTAATCACAAACAGCAAGAAATACGTCGAAAACATGATAGCTGAATTTATGCAAATCAGAACTTTTTATTTATTCATTTATACTGTGAATTTCCAAGAACCGTTTCATGCAAACTAAATCAATTAAAACTACAAATAAAACAATTTACTATTACTATTATTAAAAACGGTATCATCCTTGCCATGAAGTACTTTCTGAACTGATTCTATAACGTTCGTCATTGCAAACGAAGTCAAGTTTATACAGTGATCTTCTTGCCCAAGTAGCAAAGTGAAATTTGAACGATTCCTATGATTATATTCAAACATTTTCAATACAGCATGCGAATCTCCCTCAAAATATGTTGACAAACAAATCAAAATATTTAATCGCAGCAAAAAGTGCAGAAAAAAAGGCTTAAATATTAGAAATCAAAACATTACTTTTCTTCCAAAGCAACAAATCGAGACATACATCGATTGAACCATTGGAGGATATTGCCAATTACATTTTCCATATTTCCTTCTTCAAACTGATTGATTGCATTCTCCAAAAGAATTCCCTGTCGTATAAGGTCATATTTATCAGCTAATTCTTTCATTAACCTATATTCAAGGGAATTTGGAACAGGTAATATATGGATGACAACCATTACTTCTGGATAATCTAAAACAACTCTGATATACCAAGAATTAATATGTATGATGTTTTTTGAACACAGGTATAAATAATAACAATGTGAACAGGTAGTAAAAATTTTTCCATATATTTGCATAATTATGTTAACTGTATAATAATAGAAGAGTGAAGCCCCGTTGCAAATAGTGAAAAGTAACAGTAAGAAGTACAGTTAAATACTATGCAGTTAATACTTGCTACTAATTCAAATTTGAATGCAATCACATTTTATCGAAAAACTGCAACATTACAATTTTTCCGTTAGAATGAGCTGGCAAAACTACAAAGTAAACTGTTACCTTGATGTATAGCACTATATGTTTTTCTTACTTCTACTTCATTTCCCGGAGTTGTATAAAAAATAGCTTTTGGCTGCTTATCAAAACGATGAGTGCATCCATATTCGACTGCTTTCTGTTGCAGCAATTTTGTGAGCCAAATGGCGAAACTCCTTAAATTATAGCTACTAATTCATCAATACACATACTTCTTCAAAAAACCACTGCATTGAAGATAAAATAAGAGAGCGTGTCATTTATCTTCTCCAACCATTTTTAAAATTGAATTATTAGGATTACTGACAACCAAATTATAATTTATATGAAAAATTGATTAAAAGTAATGAGTAAGCATAAGCTAATAACTACACAATTACACTTCACTACATGCAAATAAGAATAAATAACCGATGAACTGAATCAAAAGTGCACAAAAAATATATAATGCACAATTACCGTAGATTCGGAATGATATCTTCATTGGGAACAGAACACACCAGAACCCATGGAAATGCCAGTAAATCAACCATTTTGGCTGGATCCAAAAGAGCTAAAAATAAAACTATTCTGTAACGCTTAACATAATTTTGAATAATGAATATTAGAGTCCCGCACAGAACACCGAAATTTGAATAAATTTGAGATATTTGCCATCAAGTTATTTGCCTAAATAATCAAAGTACCTCAAGATTCGCCAGGATACATGAAGTTATTTTCAGGATACCGTGCAACATGATATTAACTTTGACGAGTTAATAAAATAGCAGCATTACTCTGTACATGCTAAACTGTAATAGACTCACATCAATACCTGTGACCTTCAAAGTTTAGCAAAAGTTACTATTATTTCTCGAACTTTTTTGCTAAATACTTATTTAATACAAAGTGCAGGCCAACCGCAAAGTACTTACTGGCTTAACTAGGCAGTAAAATACGTTTATAGTAAGTAAAACTGATAGAGTTTAATATAGTATAAGGGCGAATTTTTTAATAAGGTACTTACAGTTTGCACTTAACATTACATATTTGCATTCAAGTACGAATGCTTATATCAATAGTATTAGGTACACTACATTATACTACACTGTACTATACTACACTACACTACACTACACAGCATTCCCCTGCAGTACACTACACTCCACTACATCCATATACATCAATTAACTACAATCATACTACAACAGTTAGTTCCATCTAGCAAGCTATGCCTGTTTCAGTACATACAATCACAAGCAAGATGACTTGCATTACAGTTATTTTGCTTACATTTAGCACAACTACTGGAAAAAATTCCCTCACGTTCGCACTTATATTAAATATCACAATTTGAAATCTCTTTTTTATCACAGTTTGCCGCTTCCTTGTATTACTATCACTATCTGACTGATTGATAAAAAGCAAGACTGATCTTGTCAGTAGGCAGCAAGTGATAAGACTTACTCATCGTGACCAATAATTAAGCGATAAATATTGTGCAAGAATGAAATACTCCATAATATTAACAAAAAATTCGAATTTTAATATTGTAGCAATGCGATTTTGTGCTTTTATTGTCGACCATATTCCTGCAACTATGAGCTTCTACTGCTTTACTTCTCTGTACTCTCGGTTTTATTTTCATCAAACCTGTAGTGTAGGGGAGAGAGATTGCAGATTTGAGGTCACTGAACATTAAGAAGTTAGGAGTGTTTTATTTATTTATTATTAACAGTTGATGAACAATTAAGTTTATCCCAATTGTATTTTTCTACTATTATGAACAGTCCAGCAACAGGGACTTCCACTACTTACTTTCTTGTCTTCCATTGCATCCCCTCCACAATGCATCCATCATACACGCACAAGAGAGTATGAGACAGTTACATTGTTTTTTTTAATTTATTGTTTTGACAGTTACTACATTTCACTGTAATTGACTCTGGTACTATACTTCATGATAATGTCTTACAATAGATCAAGATATTGCATATATGACTGACTACCATGTTTTCGTATTAGTTTTGTATCGCTCAGCTGTTTCGAGACATCTTAAGAAGTAATTCGATATATTTGTGAACATATTTTCTTTATATGAAAATTGATCAGTTTTTTGCATCGCGATTATCGTATTTTTTTGTGAAGGTAATGGATCAAAGATAATGGCTCATAAACATTAAAGTATTAACTGATGGAATGAAGTGAATGAAGAAATCGAAATTGCATTGCACCAAGGGATTAGTACAAAGTGTAGAGAGGCTTTTTCAGCGTGTATTGATCTAATCAAGTTTATCAATTTCTTATAGGTTTGTTCTGTTTTATATTTTTTGATCTGTACTTGCAGCAAAAAACCGCTTTTCACTATTTGAGTTTTACTGATTAATTCTACGTAGAAGCATTTTGTATAATTTTTACATAAATTCTGTATTATGGGAATTAATGTTTTGATTTATTACAAGTATAAAAGTTGCAGTGCAATCAAAATTCTACTCTTTTTGAGTTAATGACCTACAGAATTTTCATTTTATTATGCTTTTCTCTGAGAGAAGAAAAATGCCTCAAAAATGCTTTTGAATAAAAATCCATCATTCTTATTGCAATTAATTTGCTCTCATATCAAATTATTGTTTTATTGAGGCAATGGAGTTATTTATTACAGTCACAAAAATTATGCAAACTCACGTTCAATGTAGTTATTATGAGCAAATGTAGTTTTAAGGGCTCTGATTAATCTAGACGTAGTATATATATATATATATATATATATATATATATATATATATCCATATT